AGCTCATGAATTATTAGTGAAAAATAATATGAGTCCTCAAAAATTATTAAAACCACAGACAATAAGGTATTTTTTTCTTTGACGGGAAAAAAGTTTGGCATTTCATCTCTGTTGGCAGGTTATAAAATGTCACTTTTCATAAATTACTTTTTTCCCGTGGGAAAAAAGTGAGTTCTTCTTTCCCGGATATATATCACATATATATACTCTGTTAATGGCTTTTGTTGTGCTATAGTTCCGAAAAATAAGTCAATAATACCGTCTCCGAGAAAGAACTGCAAGTCCTTTTATCTTCCATTCGACTTCGCGGTTTCGTATATTACTAAACAACTACTGAATTCGCAATTTTTTAAAATCAAATCACAGAATTGAACTGACAGAAGTGACATCAGATATTTGATTACTTCAAAAGAATGATAAAGATGTCTATAAAACGCAGGTGTCCCTACTGTGAAAAACTTGAAATTTCACGTCGATAATTTTCAGATTTCGAAATAATGTAATATCTTCCCAATATTGATTCGTCCTTCCTTCTGTCACAGAAAAAAATAGTGTATTATACACGGGAAAAATATTAGATTTTAGCTCACGGTTTTTTGTCTCCCTCCGCTACGCGTCGGGAGACAACACAACCTGGAGCTAAAATCTACTACTTTTTTCCCTTGTATAATAAATAACTATTGTCAAACAAACAAATCTATCAATAGTTCATCTAATTTGACTCTAATGATAATGAAGTTTTAAAACTGTATTTTTTTTGCAGAATATTGGATTCTGAATTACGAGTTCAATAAAAATGCGTCAAAATGTAGCAGAGTATTTCAAAAAATAACAATGAAACATCTGTCAAATCGTAAGAAGTAGGTCACTTTATTCGTTTTTCTCTGCTCTGTTCACATAGCAAAACAGATATACAAAATATTGCCATACAGACTGTTGTTTTTCAAATAAAGTTTACTATTTTTCCTCAAGACTGACCTGGATTCGGATCCCGATTTTCATTTAGTTTTGATGGGTAATATAAGTGAAATATTTCTACCAAGTATAGATAGATTATACAAAGGGGTTCAAAGTTATGACCAGATGAAGATTTTGCCAAAATCAAGATAACGTTCTGTATCTCAGTTATGAAAGATGGTAGCCACATCAATTGGGGGGTGGGGGGTGTAGGTATCGTATGTACATTCAAATCTGAAACACCCTGTATAAGTTTTCCTCTCAATAGATGTATTGAGGGCAACTATATAAAAATCTTGAGTCAAATCGAATTTGTATTATTTCTTTGAAAACTAAGCGAGATACCTACAACTGTAACACAAGGGACAAGAAATGTGTATTTTCAATTGTTCAATATAATAAAAAATATGAAACTCAGAGAAACCATTGGCGTACAATGTTATTTCCTAATCACCATAAATATCGATAAGCTATCCCACTGCGACGTCACTGGAATTAGAATTTCAAATTCAATCACACCAAAAAAAGCTCCATGTTGATGACTTTGAAATTGAGGAAAAGACTCTTGAGTAAACAAAAGTGTATGTGCACTTTTTTTCATAAAAATGACAAGAAATCATTCCCTACATTTTTCACACTCATTCATCCTCATCTTGTATATATTTTTTCATTATTGATAATTTCCGGTAGAATATGTTTTGAATTAATGAATGAATTTTCATAATTCATGTAAAACTGTATTTTTTTCCTGATCAAAGTAATGTGAAGGGTATTATTTGGAAATGGTATTTTGAGACAGTACACAAACTAAAGGAGTCAACCGATTGCTGTAGAACTGTTAACAATTTCCTGAAAACTTTGTACCATATATTAATTTGTACACTTAGCAATAGGACGAAACTATCTAATATAAAAATCTGCAGATCTCTCTCTTTCTCTCTCTCTCATTTTCGACAATAAATAATATATTTTTCTGAGCAATGTACAAACAACTTCCTACGAAAGGCGATCTGATTTGGTGATTTTGATCACCATCAGATTATAATTGTTATAATTTTCTGGCAACTCTCTCTATTTAGCTAACATTCAAGGTGATTCACGCCAACTTTGAGCTATCCATTACAATATATATTTTTTAATTATCTACACATATTTAATTTGAGATCTAGACTTACGAATATTGCTTTGCCCAACTAATAGAAAGTTGAAAACAAAAAGCCTCATTAATACCAAACGCTTTGAATGGTAAAACATAATTTCGATTTTTGCTTTCACTCTAATTTAAACTTTTTTTTTCATCAAGTATAGATAGCTTCTTTGGTTCCTAGTTGTCTCTGAATCACTTTGAATTCAACTGAAGAAAAAATACTATCTGTCTCAAAATGAAAACTATTAACCCCGAATCCCAAAACTGTTGGTTATAATACATGAGACTGATAATAAATGTGGGTTGACTCCTGAGTGAACGAATATGTGCTTATACAAGTCCAGCTGATATCATCAAAAAAGAAAATTATTTCGAAAATTGACATAGAACATTTCGGTAATTATGAACTACAGGGTATTTTCAGGATAAGTCATTGTAAACCAATGAACTTGATCTGACATCTGCAGACTGAAAACAAATTCGATTAATTCCAATAGAATGTGAATCTTGCATACAGTGTGTCCTAAATTCCTTCGTTATCGAATTCGGGACTCACTATATAAACAACTGAATTAACCTCATATTTTGATACAAAGTGTTCCTGAATTCAGGTTAAAAAGCCTAGGGAAGATTCAATCCAAATATATGAGAAGACTACCAAATTGTTTTGAAGATAAAGATGGAGTTATGTTCACAAAAACCCAGTAAATTTTTGGTTTTATCATTTTCTTTGATGAACCATAGATTTTTTCTCTCTCTTCCCATTTTTCTTCACTTCATTTTCTCGAAAAAGAAATAAATATATTATTATTATTGTTCCACTCCTGAAAACACAGAGAGGTCCAAAAGATATTTCAGAAAGTTTTCATCAAACTTTGAAATTTTCCTTCAAATCAGCCAAAGTGTTCTCTACATATGAATGAAAATTACATTTCTTTATAGAATTTCAACATCTATTATCATGAAAGCAACTTTTGTCATTTGAATTCAGGAACATCCTGTATACTCTTTTTTTTCCTCTTGGACCTTTAATTTGTCCATTGGAATATTTCGTTTAATATCTTTCAGAATGATCTTGGATGATTGTAAATTTGTAGTTCATTTTTAAAATCAGCTGGACTTTTTGCTTTAAGGCAATAGATGGCGCAGAAATATCGTGTTTCTGAACAAAAATACTTCTGTCTCGTATTTATGAAAATATGTTTATCTACATCGATGAAAAATATGATTTGTATGTAATTATTATAGTGAATGTAATGCTCTTTCCAAAAACAGAAAACCATAAGCCATCATGAAACATGCAAATCTAGATGGTACTCATTAGAATTGATGCATAAAAAATTATCGGAAAAACAAATTGTTGGTATATTTTCAAGGTTTTTTTCAGCGTGACTAATATTCAGTGTAAAACATATAATTTTAATGAACAAAATAGCATTATTTCCGAACTAATTCCGTTATTTTACTCTCAGTAATCAAATCAATGAAATAATATTTCCAATACCTTATGAAAAAAGATAGATCAATTGATATTTAGAACAATTCTTTACATGCAATTAATTAAGTTGTGAAGACTATCAATTTTCCAAAATGAAATCACGAGAAGTGAAAATAATTGGGATCAAACAATGAGCATTTTTGAGTCATTAGAAGAAATGATTCCAGAAAGTGAAGTGAGCTGTTTAGGGTAATTCAAGTTTCAATACCATTTTGAAGGAAATGAAGTGACTGATAGATCTTCAAAAAACATCAAGAAGTAGTATTTCCTAAATTTCTTTCGAAGATTCATAGCTCACTTACATTTTTGAAAAACTTGAATCGCCCTGTATTCTTCCATTGCAGTCCTCAATAAATAAGACTCAAATACGCTCGCTCATTTTTTTGTATAGTGTGTCATCACATGAAAATAAAAAAAAAGATATTATGTTTTGATAAAAAATCTACATTCCAGAAAAAACATTTATTATCTGACCATATGGCTTTCTGTTTTTTTTGTGGATTTTTACCAAGCTGCAGAAATTCTAATGGCGGAAACTATAACGTATAAAAAATGAGTATAGACTATGAACTACACATCCAAAGAGTTTTTAAACATCAATAGTTTTTTTTTCAAGGCAGGATAGTCCATATGAAGTGGTTATGTTATAATACCTATGTATGCAGACTTATGCCCAATAGATGGCACACGTCAAAATAGCACTATTTCAGAGACGTTACGTTTGAATCACTTCACTTTCCATTTCCTCGGGACGGCTACTGAATATTTGTTCGAAATAAACTGCCCGACGAATGGAATGCGCATCGCGAATTTTCCTTTCAACTATGACACCCTGTAATTCCAGGATTATATGTTGAAGGCAGTCAGTTTTCTGTCAGTTATATGATGAATTGACGTTCATCATTCAGGGTGTAGAAAAAATTCTGAATTGAGAAAACCCAATCATGAACCTGTGGGTAGAGGTCTGTAAAAGCAAATTCCCATCCTTCAGGTTTGCACCCCTTGATTGGGTATGAAAGTTTTGAGAAGAAGAAGTAATTATTCTCAGATATATTATGAACATAAAAAAATTAGACATAGGAAAAGATTCATTGAGAATTTGCATTCTCTATCAGATAAAAATATGAAGTATTTTTCAGTATATTTCCTAGCTATACAGGGTCCCACCGATTCAATAGGGAGAGTATCTTCTAAACAGTAAGACAGAAAGTTGATTGACAATAGACGTTTCATAATTTAGAAGCCGTTCTTGAAATATCTGACAAAAGCTGAAAATCGCTCATTTCGTTTTTAATTATCTTCATGGTCTATAATAAAAGGAAGAAATTTTTAATTTTGTGTAATTAGGTAATTGATCATGACAAAGAAGTTGATATTGTCAGAAATATCTTGATTATTTTATGAAACATTTGTATTCTTGGTTATTCCATGCATTTTTTTTTTCATTTTTTCATAAAATTGTAGCATGTTACTCATGTTTATGAAGAAGTATTGATACTGTAGTCAAGACAACTGCTGTTTTGTTTTCCTATCATCATGGCCTACCCCATTTGAGAATGTTTTTACTGTTTTTCGGCGCTGTTTCATGTGGAAATGTCAACATGTCATACATTTGTGAAGGAAATTCTTAGCTCTGTTCAATGGTATAAAGAACAAATATGACGCCAATGAGAAAAAAAATGTTTGAAAATATTGAAGATAAAATATTTCTGACATTCCCAACTTTGTCATGATCACTTTCCTGTCCACACAAAATTTCAAAATCTTCCTATTAACCAAGAAAATAAGTGAAAACAAAATCGGCGATTTTCATTTCAGTTTTTTCAAAATATTTCAGGAATGGCTGACATTTTTCGAAATTGCAAAACGTCATATTGAAGAGGTCCAAATTACGCAATTTTTATCTGATTCAATCAACCTTCTATCTCTTACCACTTAGGAAATAGCAATAAGGTCCCTATTAAATCAACGGGACCCTGTATAGCCATGACGAATATTGAAGATAAAATATGTCTGACATTCCCAACTTGATTTGTCATGATCACTTTCCTGCCCACACAAAATTTCAAAATCTTCCTATTAACCAAAAAAATAAGTGAAAACAAAATCGGCGATTTTTATTTCAGTTTTTTCAAAATATTCCAGGAATGGCTGGCATTTTTCGAAATTGCAAAACGTCATATTGAAGAGGTCCAAGTTACGCAACTTTACTCTAATTCAATCAACCTTCTATGTCTTACCACTTAGGAAATAGCAATAATGCCCCTATTCAATCAACGGGACCCTGTATAGCCATGACGAACATCGATTAATCATAAAAAAGGTTTATTATTCTATATCAGAGGGAATATAAAGCGAACGTTTTTTCAATAATAATTTCAAAAAGCAACTCAGTGAAATAATTTCGAAATTTTATTCAGGGGCGTATCAAACAAATTATAAAAGGGATAAAAAAGTAATCATTTATCAAAAAGGTGCAATGTTCTCCAAAATCAGATCTCAAAAAATAAAATTACAAACATTATTTGGAAGTTAGGCACAGACTAGAGAGTGAATTTAATATGATATAGACTATGGTATCAAATAAATTAAATCTGACACTTAAAAAAATTTGTAACGTTGGCTATTTCAAACTGATGATTTTTAAATGTTGTGAACAACTAATAAAGACACAGTTGAATTAAAATTATTACTGAATAATTTGAATTATACTTACTTTTCGATGCTTTTTTTTCTCGATATTTTGTGTCTTAGATGATTCAACAAGACCTCAAGCATGAAATTAAGCCTTTGAAGATGGAGAAATAATCACTTTCGCATATAATTATTTTTCACCCTGTAACATTTACCATTTACCGTTATGCGACATTAAAACCTTCCACAGCCATAAAACAGGGCTTTCCAAATCAGCAAACCGATTTCGAATCGCTCAGAAATTTTACATTTTACAGGGTGTCAAATTTGGGTGTAATATCGCGGTTCGCATGCCACGTGTCGCCTAGTCTAATTCCTCGATTGTGCCCCTCTGTTTGTTCTACCAGAATCGGTGCGAAAACGAGTTTAAACTAAATTGCACTCATGCATTTTTTTTTTCGTTTTTTTTTCTTTCCTTTGCCCCCAGCCCTCAGACTTATGATCCTCGTTTTTTTCGTGAAGGCACCGTGTATTTTTTTTTCAGTCCAGTCCAGTCTTACCATATTTAAGTAAGCATTTTGCCAAGATAAAGTTCTTACAAAAAGTTTCATAGAGGTTTTTACAAAATCTACGTATAGTTTGATTCTCAATAAGAATAAATCGGGCCTACGTCACAACATTTCTTCTTCATCTGCTTCTTCTTCTTCTATAGGTGCCGTCGAGTGTTAGTAGTAAAAAAGAATTGAATAAATTTATAATATTTTCACAGCCAGCATTGGTGGTGCGACAGCTGCCGTTACTATCAGATTCCTCTTCATCTTCTTCATCTTCTTTTTTTTTTCTACTATGTACAGTACGAGAAACATGCAAACGGACAGCATAACAGTGTAGCACCACCCTTTCCGGGTATCCAGGAAATCCCACCTGAAATAAATTAGAATCGTTTATTTTCTCGATTTGTTCACAAGGAAAGAAAATTGGTGCATTTTTTGCAATATCACAGAGATGGAAAACAATTTAGCAATACCCTAGACACGTAGAGAGTCAATCAATGGGATTCAAGTATGCAAATTTCCACTGGTTATTAACTCATTATAAACATAATTTATTCCACCTAATCTAATTCTTCTATGGCGCCATTTCGATCTTATTGATATACAATACAAGGTAATCTTCTGTTGGTTTTTTTATATCAATCTTGTATCAGCAATTATAATTTTGAACAAAAAAGTTATTTCATGGCAACTAGCTTGATAGGAGAGTGGATAAGTTTATTTTATTTTCTTATATAGAATCATCCATCAAATACCTTTCAATTTCATATTTTTTCAGAATTTTTTGTTCGATTTTGAGGTGCAAAAATCAACAATAATGACATGCTAATTTTCAAACGTCTGAAAAATTGACGTCACGATTACGTAAGTAAGGACATAGCACAGTTGACATAATATGTTGAAATGCGATTGGAACTTCAGAAATATTCATTATTCAATAATTCATAAATTCTCAATTTTGTAGTGGTTATATTTCTAATGAGACATGAAAAATCAATCTCAAAATATTTCTTCATCTGTTGTGGCTCATTGCTTATAACACATTTGTATTAATAATAATATCATTATAATGTTTCATGCTACAGGACATTTGAGGGTAAACGTGACAACACGGTATCACGAATTGAGGGCGGTGCCTTGTCAGTTCTCAGCATTCAGCACATTGTTGCCAAGTCTTCAACATCAACATGATATTTTGTTATGGAGTATAGAGATATTTAGACTTGCTGGTAGCTCGAAAAAGTGAAGAATGCACTATTATATTATGGTTTCTTTATATTATGTTTTATCTCGTGTTGACAGGACTTTGATCATTTTGATAAGTTGATTATAATTGGTGACTTGATTATGTATCGCCTAATGGCGGCCATGACGGTACGATTGGAATGATCTCTGAAATTCAACAATTTTGAACAACGCATAGACTCATTATTTACATAAAAAAAGTGTTAGAAGTGTTGCAAAAATCAATTTAGTTGCCTAACGACACAGTGGAGAAATTAAATGCCAGTAATTCTTTATCACTCCACTCGCCCATCGATAGAATAATCTTGCAATCAATCTACAACCTATTCAGGTGAATTATCTGGGCTTGCTTGAAGATTCAGAGCCTGGTTGCAATTTTTTTATACGAAAATTTCCATATTAATCTTGCAATTAGACTTATTGAAAGATTGATCTGCCAATTGAGCTCATATCTCACATTACAAGATGAATCTTGAAATTAGGGTTTAATGAACAGATCAATCTTCCAATCATAATTATGAACAATAGACAAGAACACTAATTTCTAGTAAAAATACTATGACGTTAATCATAAGAAAATGCAGAGGATTTTTTCAAATTCTTCATTCCTTCTAGATTTCTCAAAATAGATTCACAAAGAAATGGTCCCCTTAGAACCCGACAGAAAATCGTCAGCGGTACTGATGTCACAAGTTCTATAACGCGTCGACCGTCTATTGGTAATCGGGAAAAAAAAGATATTTCACTATTCAGTGAGATGAACAGCGTTGCCGTTTCAACCGATTCTTTACTGCTTTGGATATTTCAACATTTGTTGCTCTCAAGAAATAACTGATTTCAACAATATCATGGATGGACTGAGCAAGATATTTTAAAACTCACTTGTTTTTGTTTTCTTATATGGATTGTGGCTTGTTATGACAGATATCAAAGTCATGCCACCAGAATGTGAGGCTCATTGAAAAATTGTTTCGTTAGATTGTATATAAACCTATGTTCAAACGAATAATTGAGAAGAAGACATAATTTCGACACTCCTGATCGAACCTACAAGGTGCTACAACCTACTCAATTACTAATCATGTCAGCTATAAAAGTGAAGAATTGGAAATGAGGGAAACAATATTCACCATAAACATACAATATTGACCACATTTACTTCCTCAATGAATATCAAACTATCTCACCAGTTCACAGTAGGATGGATTCTGAATTGAGAAATATTTACTTGATATTTCCTTAAAATAAAACAGCTGGCAACACAGGAAAAGGAATCATCACGTCAGTACTGGCGCCGCCGGCTATCTTATGGCAACTGAGGAGAGTTATAGGTTATAGGAAAAACTTGGGGTATCAACACCGAGATTATGCGCTGACTGTACACAGCGGTAGTAAAACCAAAGATCCATTATAGGTCGGCAGTATGGTGGCCGGGCGCAGAAACCAGTACGATAGGTCGGAACCTAAGTAAGGTCCGGAGGATGGCATGCCTAGCAATATCAGGTGCAATGAGGACGACGCTAACGGCAGCATTAGAAGTAATGCTGGGGGCTACCACCGCTTCAAATCTGGATAAAGAAGGAGGCGATGGCGGCCCACCTGAGGATGCGGTACTCAGGAAACTGGGCAAGTGCAGGGACAATAACAGGACATGCAAAAATATCAAAGTGGTTAGAGCAGGAGATTCCTATCTCCACTCTTAGAGTGAATAAAGTGCAGAACAGGCTGAGATGGAATAAGAAAGTTCAAACTTACTATTCCAAGCAGAGAAGAATGGATAAGCAATACAAAGGAGTTTCGCCCAAGAAGCTTAGTATGTTACACAGACGGATCCCGTCTGACTGACAAACAGGCCTCGGGCGCAGGGATCTATCTCGAAGGGAGAAACATACGAGAAAGCTACGCTCTAGGAAAATACACCACAGTATTCCAAGCTGAGGTGTTCGCCATCCTGGTCATAGCAGAGAGGCAAGAGGTGAAAGAGGGACCAGAGCAGAAGATCTACATCTGTTGGGATAGTCAGGCACCACTCAAGGCTATCTGTCATCCCAGACCAAACTCAGCATTGGTACAGGAATGTGGAAATGCCCTCGAGATATTAGCCGAATCAAAGGAAGTTGAACTGGTATGGGTCCCGGGTCACAGTGGGGTGCCCAGAAATGAAACAGCAGACGAACTTGCTAGGGCCGGATCCGCGGTGTTAAATTAATTTTTAACGAAATTCAATAGATTTCACGTGTGAATAGGACCCTGATGTGGATATTAGTGTTTGATGTCGACGAAAAAATGTAATATGCACTTCGGCGAAAAACTGTCTATTGTCTCGCCTGCTTGCTAGCCTCGGCAATCATTTTGCAGAATCGACTATGAAAGACAGTGTTTCGTCCTTGGAATTACAAGATTTACCTTGCGATTAGCTGAACTGTCAGAATGATCCTGCAAATGCAATTTTCAGAGCCTTCGTAGTTTATAGACCTTGTATAATCAAAGCCATACTTAGGGATTGACATACAAATTCTCAGTTGTCAGGGATTGAAGAATCAAGTGAGGTTAGTTCATTTAAAAGAAAACAACCGAAACCGGCACTCACATTTTGTCGCCGTCCCCGCTACTATGTCTTGAGATCGACGTCCCAGATTTCGGCCAGGAAGGGGGGCAGCTTCTTGTTCTTCAGCTTCAGGCTGAAGCACATCTCCGAGTTCTGGTTGCCGAGCGTGCGCAGCTCGGTGAGCACGGACAGCAGCTTTGCGAAGATGGTGCCCGGCTTCGGTTTCCGCCGATTGTCGACGTACGCCCTGAGGGCCTCGAGGTAGATTTCCTGGATCTTCTCCACCTTCCAGCCTTCGATCAGCGCAGGCCGTTCTGGAAAATTCCAAAAGACCGTTTTTTTCAAATATACATACACACAAGGCTCGGTGGTCGAGAGCCTGAAGGCGCTGAGTTCGTATGGGGACTCCCACCGAAACATAGGTTCGAATCCTAGTTAGGCCATGGATGTTTGTGTTTGTATGTATACCTAACCCCGCACAAGTTTCGACTTATGGGGCGTTTGGTCCCAGTGCTGAGACCAACGAGGTATGCAATTGCAAAAAAAAAAGTTCCATACCACTTGGGTCATCTGGTCATCTCACTATTTATCATTCACCTATTGTACTGTTCATCATATCTTTGTTATTCACTATACAATTTTTTTTTATTTTAATTTAGACTAAGAACTTAAGAAATGCATTGTATTTTATATGTAAAATTGTAAAAACACTAGTTGTTATGTGAACAAACTATTGGTACACACACAAATTGAAAAAATGTATAGTGTACCACCATGGAAATGTAAAACGAACTGTTTCTAACTTGGTAATATGAATATATAAATTTCAAAGGGTTCCTGTTTAGGAAAGGTGGAAACACTGTCTTGTTTTCAAAGATAGATAGAAAGATTTGTTTCAAAAACATTCAGTTCAAGGAGAAAGCGTCAAAATTGAGCTAAAGTACATAAATAAATATCAAATAAAACAATAGTATATTATGTCACAAGTGTTATAAACGTCATTTTAGTAACGAATGTTCCATTTCAGCAAAGAATTCAAACAATCTATCTGGTTGAATTCAGATGAGCGATTCAAGCTCCATATTTCATGCCTGGTCTATAAAATAAATAAACAAAGTACTCCTCCATATTTGTTTAATAAACTCTTGAAGGGATCAGATATACATGACAAACCGACTCGTTCACGTGACTGCTACACAGTCCCCAAGCACAATACTGCACAATTCCAGAGATGTTTTTCCTATGTGTCCATACACGTTTTGATACCTTACCTGCCCACGTCAGATCTGCCCAGACTATCAACATGTTCAAAGCACATGCCAAAGCCTGTATACAAAATATGAGAAATACCAACTCTTGACGAGTAGATCAAAATATCAATAATTATTCATATAATTTATATCATTATAATTATTATATGCTTTTTATAATTTATATAATGAGTTATTATTTTAATCATTATGATCACTGTTAAATATGCTTTTCAACTTGTTGGATATTCAGGGGGTTGTATGGGCGAGCAACTCTGTTGAATACCGCCTCCTTTGGGTATCGTTTGTTTATGAATGTTGTTAATGAAGAATGAAGACACATTATTATTATTATTATTATTATAAACGAGTGTCTACAATAGTTTATGAACGCGTTCCAAAATAATTCGAAAGGAATGGGAATCGAAAACATATTACATAATACATAATACTATGCAACTGCATGCTACCAACGAGCCATGTATAATTTATATTGGTAGTAGATGTGCGTCCAGCCAATAGGGTACACGAATTTCTATTGAAATGGCTTGTTCACTGTCGTTTGTGAATAAGATTTCATCTGTAGATATAAATTCTTTGATTCGCTGTTGAAGTTTTCGATTTCTCAGGTTTGTACACAGTTTGTATCCATATTCTGATTGCATAATTTGACTCACATGAATGATGTGTTTCACTTTTAGTGTCATGCTTAGCATAGAATGATGAGAGCTTCATTTTACCTAGATTTATTGGAAATATGCAAGTACCAAAAACATTGAGAAGGAATATTCTCAGAGATATTTTTGAACACAAAAAAATTGGATATATATATAAAGAAATCATTGAGAATTCGCATTCTCCATGTGATGAAAATATCAATTCTTTTTCGGTTTATTCAACAGAGAACAACCACTTTCGTTTTCACTACCGCATACATTTCTCATACATTTTTAATCTAAAATTCTGATACAAACAGAAATTGTTTGAATAATTCTGATTGCAACAAAATTTGAAAATGACAGTTGACAGTTCCTATAATTGAAAGGCTGGACAGGACTCAAACGACTGAAGGTGTGTTTGCAAAACTCGTTGCCATGGTAATGTGTTCAAGAAATTGTGTTGTCATGGTAATGTTTTTAATTTTTTGAATAAATCACAGATCATTAAATTAATCCCTGATTAATAGATCTTTCAGCGTGGTACAAAGCCGTACACTGAATGCCATTTCAGTTATGGGAATAGAAAAAAAGAAATCAATTTGCAAAATTCAACAGGTACATAGAGATAAAAACTATATAAACGTCTACTCATTTTGTACAATTTACATCAATTGAAGTATCAACTTTCCTGATAACCGATCAGCTGAGTTTTGAGGGGGCAATAGATAATCTTTGTTACTTTTTGTTGATGTCCTTACCACTTGTTTGTGTGCAAAATTTTTCGAAGTTTGTCTTATGTGTGTTCAGTCACTTTATATCGGATTTTTTTATTATAAAACCTATTTTGACATTATCCAATAGTGCAAAGTCTATGGAGATAGATATTTCGTATTGTATTTGTACTTGTATCATAAGCTTACCGGAAAAGATGACGATGGCGGTGAGGAGGGCGTACTCGGCATTGTCCACCTTCATCGAGTACATGGTCCTGCAGAAGTGCAGGAGGTCCTCGATGGTCTCGCCCATGCCCGCCAGGTTGTAGCTGTCCCTCGAATAGGGCTGGTTGTTCACGAACAATATCGAATCGGACTGGACGTCGTACCGCCGCGCCATTCGGAACATCATCACCTCACTCGAACAAGCCTGAAAACAACAATAATAAACTAAAATTGAGAGAGAAAAATCATGTTCGTAGGTTGATTTCCACAGATAAAGCTGTCAAGTTTTCCTCATCACTCGGAAAACATAATAGTAAAACTGAATTGATAGCGAGTAACACCTCATTTTGCATATTTTTATCAGAAACGAACGCGGATGATAGTACCCTCCATACCGCCTGCTCTTCCAGGGCTCCGATACCAGCCAGGCAAATCAGAAACGAACTAGGGAGAAATGTTGTGGGAATCCAATAATTTGGTAGAATGCAAATAAAGCACAAGCATGCCTTTACTCTAGAAAACCCTATCTCACTGTGCCCAACATAAGCTTGTCAGGAGTAACCATACCTTTGAAGACTTCCATTTCCATGCTTGGTATTACCACCAGCAATAACCTCTCTTGGGAAAATCACGTGAGATCAATTGCTAAAAGTGCATCCCAAAAATATTGTTTTCTGTTTTGGGCCAGGACCTATTTCACTTCCGGTCAGCTGCTTATGATCTATAAGGCACAGATCCGACCTGTCCTGTTCCCATATTTGGAGTGCAGCACCCAAACATACCCTGAAACTGTTGGATTCTGTCCAAAACAGGGCAATTCGTCTCGTGGGTGATGCCTCGATAACAAACTCTCCCACTTCTCAGGTACACCGTAGAAAAGTTGGCGATCTGGCTCTATTTCATAGATATTTTCATGGACGATGCTCTTCTGAAATATCAACAATTGTTCCTCCCTTGGCAGTCCCCGCGAGATTAACCCGTCGAGTTGAGGCTTCGCACTCCTTCGTGGTCACTTTGGAGACCTGCAGAACATATCTTTCCAAAGACTCGTTCATCCAACGAACAGCGAGGCTCTGAAACACATTGCCATGGGAGGTGTTCCCCGAGGCATATAACCTCCAGAAATTCAAGAAGAACGCCAATTCCTACCTTATTTCCCTTGGTTTCACACGATGTTCTCTGAACATTACAGGATATCCCTTCTGGTGGGAAGCAGAACATAAACAAAAAGAGGACAGCGGCTCTCAGTGCATACAGAGTTAACTCCACTGAATTGGCCATTCAAGAAGAAGTACAATAATTGGAATCAGCAACTAAGCCATCGGACTTACTGCCAGTCAGGCTCAATTTCGATCCTGGATCTTGAGTGGTTATAAAAAGTTGCTCTAGGTACGGCTCCGCTGAGCCTCAGCTGGACAGAGGGTCCCTTGTTTGGTACACCGATGGTTCGGAAATGGAAGAAGGGGTAGGCGCGGGTGTGTATGCACCCAGATGTAGGCTATTTGAAGCGTTAGGTCAATCCTCCACTATCTTCCAAATGCATGAAATGCATGTCATCTGCTCAGACAACCAAGCCGCACTAAAAACCCAAAAATCATTTGTTTTTACCAAAGATTACGAGGAACTGCTTTGAAACACTCATGCAACTGGGAGAGGACAACAGGGTCACCCTCATGTGGGTTCCAGGACATGAAGGAATTGAAGGTAATGAGGAAGCTGATCGCCTTGCAAAGAAAGGTGCAGAATCTGCTCTCTTTGGTCCTGTGCCTCTTTGTGAGACAAGCAAATGTCACCTATAAAGGCAGAGCTCGGAAAATGGAAAGAAAGTGAAAAGTCCTCCTACTAGAGAGCAACTGTAGGTCAACAACAAGCAAAATGGTTCATCAACCATTGGTAAAACCGAGCCAAAGAGCTACTCAGCCTCAGCAAACCAGAGATGAAGCTTATCACAGGCTTTTTAAAGGACACTGCCCTCATTCATTGGCTATTCAGCTCAATCGGTTGAAGATAATATATATCTACTTCAAAATTGAGTTCAAAGATTCCACCCGATTCCACCTGAACATACTCACATACATAAATTGAAAGTTAAATAAAAACCTAAACGTTTAGAAAAATGTCGAAGATCTCAGTTATTGGAAAAAATTATCGGAACGAACCTTTAGAAGAGCTATCTGGTCCTCTCGAAGGAGTTTGTCGAATCCAGGTAACCTCTTAGCAAACTCCACTATCAACTGCACTGTTAATATCGTTATTTCCGTTATGTGTCTGAACCGCACATCACACTGGTCTTCACCCTCCATGGGTTGGTTCTAAAAAACAACAAAAACATCTCATAACCAAAGCTGAAAATTGATCATTAGATATTTTCACAGATCCCAATGCTATATGTGCCTCAGGGATCCGTTCCGGGGCCAGTCACGTTTACGATGTATAGAAATGGTGAAAACGCGTTAGTTGACGTACTTACAATGATTCTTTTGACGTCTTCTTCGGAAGGGTGTTCGTACTCGTTCTGGAAATAGACGAGCCGATGGATGAGTTCCTCTTGTTCGGGTGAAATCGGCTTCACTCCGTTGACTGGGATGGGTTTTTCCGTGTCAGACAACTGAAATAAACATAGTTCCTTCGCCAAGGAGGAATTGAAGGTTAGTATTTCATTGGGTAGAAATTACATTCGAGAAAAAATAACGAGATAAGTGAAAGAGAAAAGAGGAATGGTTTCAGATAGTTTCAATATAACGATAATCAATACATCTTCATACATACAATCATACGATCATCTTTACTATTCAGAAACGGATTATGAGGTGTATTTTCGAAATTCCGCGGATGGGTTCATGCAAGAATATATTTAAAGATTTCAATATACTGCCAGTTCCTTGATTATATATATATTTGAATGAATGAAGCTTCGTGAATATGTCTACTAATGTCTCAATATCTGAAAAACCAAGATCAATTTGGCTACTACGTCACCGTAAAAAAAACTCTAACCCATCAAATCTCAGAGTTTCTACCGTCATGACACAAAAAAATATCACCAATAACATTTACCTCCGGTTCGATCTTGATGATCTCCGGCGAGCCGTTCGTCGTGCTGTTCGGCTTGTCCTTCTCTTTCGCCTTCTTCTTTTCGTTCCTCTTCACGGCACACTGGACTTCGGGTACGACGCATTCCGGCCTCATGCCCACCGACAGGCACTTCTTCAGCCGGCATTCCTGGCACTTCCGCCGCATGTACATGTCGATCTCGCAATTGTTGCCGTACTTGCACTGGTACACGGCGTTCTTCGTTATGCTGCGCCTGAAGAAGCCTAAAACGAGAACGAAACGCATGCTCGTTAACGTACTCTCAAACGACAACGATTCGATACACAATCAACAAGTGTCCACAGGAACCTTAACAGCGTACATACATGTTTCGTGCAACACGTTTACATACAGCGTGCATACATGTACTTGCAAAGTACAACTGAAGAATGTGAAAAGCAGTACTTCAAGCAGAGTAAATATATATAGGAACTGACAACGTACATACATAATTCGTGCAACACGTTTACATACAGCGTTGTTCACCGGGTACATGAACAGCGTGCATACATGTACTTGCAAAGTACAACTGAAAAATGTGAAAAGCAGTACTTCAAGCAGACTAGATACATATAGGTACTGACAACGTGTATATATGTTTCGTGCAACACGTTCACATACAGCGTACATACATGTACTTGCAAAGTACAGCTGAAGAATGTGAAAAACAGTACTTCAAGCAGAGTAAATACATATAGGTACTGACAACGTACATACAGGTTGTCGAGCAGGTTGTTGTAGCGTGAAATCAAGATATTGCAACGAACAAACATGTTTATTGGTCATCGTTATCTTTAATGTTGTTGAAAAGTTCAAAGATGCTCTTGGCTCTTGTAGTATATATAGACAAATAATTGCAGAGCGGATACAAGATTGTTGAACAAACAACATTCACTGTATGATGAATGCAGAAGCCCTACTGAAAAGGCGTTCTAGGAGCAGCTTAAAATTATCATTGGAAATACCTGATATGAGAAAAAGAAAGTACAATAATTACAATTACTGATACAGTGTCCATTTCTGGCACTTCCACCGCATGTACAGGGTGACTTCGTCAGTTTCCGAAAAATATAAGGCAGCTGTAGAACACCAGAAATCGCAGCATTGTCATCTAACGTTCAACACCTGCCATAGATCTATATACCAAGAAATCTATAATTTTCAAAAACTGACAGAAGATAACCTCAATAAAGTATATATATTTGATATCAGAAGAGAGAGCTCTACCCTTGAGAAAAATAAAATTTCATTCAAAAATTACCAGTTCATGTAAAACTTTTCACAATTCTTTTTTGTATTTTGTAGTACTTTATTCGGAATGTCCATGAAAAATTGTTCAGTTTTGCCCATTTGAAATGTTTTGTGAAACCGATATCAATTGAGTAAAATATAAACAATCACCCTGTACATGTCGATCTCGCGATTGTTGCAGTACTCGACGTTCTTCGTTATGTGGCGAACACGAAACAAATGAAGGTCAACGCACACCGAAACAACAACAAAACAATTAAATTCATAAAAGACAAGTGTCCAATGAAACCTACTCAGCATACATACATGTTACGGGCCAAAAATTTACATACAGCGTACATACATGAACAGCGTGCATACAGGTTGTTGTAGTGTGAAATCAAGATCAAATAATTTCCCTGTGCACACACATAAAAACTTGTATCAATACTCTGAATTAGAATAGTATATTGTTTAACGAGCATGGAATGATAGTGATTTCCTTGGTGATTTCCTACGAGAATGAAGTTTGCAGCATTCGCAAGTTATACACTACAATTTTTCTACGGCTGTAACAGATAACAGCGGCATTTTCGATTTCTTCGGCTTGTAGCCCGCTGATTTTCTGTCAAGTAATGCTCATCTGTCAGACAGAGCTGTCATTGCTTGCAATTTGAGATTCCATGAGCGAAAAGATTTTTTTGAAATAATAACACAATGGAGTCATTGTGATATAAGATACGGAAATAATATTGATGACATATGAAGTACCTCATTGGTGCATCGAACAAAGTGAAACTAGAGTTTCTGAATGTACTTGACACTCCTGTTTTGACGTTTTTTGACGAAAAACGTCAAAAAGTAGCAGTGTCAAGTACAGGGTGGCCAACTAAGAATCCAAAGTTCGATACCTCTGTTGTCTTGAGAGATACAAAAAAAGTCATGTATCAAAATTGAAGTAATAACCGAGCTTCACATTTCAAAATTTATTTGAAATACACAAGGTGTTCCGTGAGGTCACAGCACATCAAAGCTATGTTTTTTTCATTGGAACACCCTATATTTTATTTCATTTTTGAATTCTCTAGCAGTGAAAGTTACTGACATATAGGGTGTGCAAAATCGAGATTTTCCAAGTTCAGGATTTTTTTCTGTCGAAACTGTTCATTATTCGTCAAATCGGTTTACATGTCCCTATCTCAACTTTTCACTCACTATCAATTGGTGTTCAATTGACATTTAATTGGAACAAATTATAAATTTAGATTTCTTGACCACCTTGTATCAATTTCAATTGAACACCAATTCATAGTGAGTGAAAAGTTGAGATAGGGACATGTAAACCGTTTTGACGAATAATGAACAGTTTCGACAGAAAAAAATCCTGAACTTGGAAAATCTTGATTTTGCACACCCTATGTCAGTAACTTTCACTGCTAGACCCTAAGTATGAGCCGTGGAAAAACATAATTTCCAATCGATTTAGAGTTCTCGGTGGAACGTTAGGATTGTTAGGAATCTACTATTCCTTACCTTTACATCCTTCACAAGTGAGAGCGTTATAGTGGTATCCGGAGGCTCTGTCCCCGCAAACGAGACACAGTTCTTCTTGCTGCCTCGGCGTCGGACCTTTCTTCTTCTTTGCATCGCAACTGTCGGCGCTGTAACCGTTCAGACTGCTCGGTGGTGAAAGATCTTCACGACCTGAAAGAACAAAAACATACAAAATTAGGGAGTCATCCTGATAAAAGGTGTTTTTGTGAATAATTTCGTCAATGCCGCATTACTATCAATCTTGCTCTTTTAACAATTTTATTGCCGTGGCAATTAAAAATTCCACTAGAGAAAAAAGTATACACCTTGAAAAAAAAATACAACTCTGATCGAAAATCCAATCTAAATAGATTAATTTGTCAAGCGTGTTACTCTAGCTTGTGTATGCTGGAATATACCAAGCCAGTATACTCAGACATACACATGGCAGTTGAAGTGTTGTAGAGTATGGGCAAATGGATGATGCCAAAAAGGTACTGCGAAAACTGGGACAAACTGTGATTCTCTGGGTTTTTTATAATTTCAAAGAGTTGATTACATAAATGGTGATTCTGAATCAATCTGGTGAAGGGTAAATGATATTTCTTCACAATTGCTGCATATTCAACTGCTTATTTTGGCCGAATATAACTTTTTGAGCACACAATGACCTATTGATTTCGAATCTGTGCCAATTTTGCTAGCAATTTTGCCTCTACACCAGATAGTTTGATTGAATGATTGTCTTTATTACCCCAAGAAACATAGTTGTTTATAATAGGGGCACATAAACAATATACATAATGTTATACATACAATATTGAAATCATAATAAAATATAACAAGTAAAAAAAAATGCAAATAATCATGCAATATTAACCTTGTCTTTTATAAGTAGGTATTCAAATAAGAAATGGAATTATCAAAGTCTCTGAAGCAGATATTTTTTCAAGTTAATTTTGAATCTAGTTGCTTCCTGTATATTCCTCAATTGACTTGGTAATGAGTTGTATAGAACAATTCCTGTGTGAAAAATGGATTGTTTGCCGATATTTGACTTGAAGATATTTGCTATTAGTAAATTTGATTGTCTTGTTCCATGATTATGTAATGAATTGATTTCATTGAAATTTAAGTTCGAAATTTTCAATTTATATGGGACAAATTGAATAAAACAACATATTTCAAGTTTATATAGTGATGGCAGATCTAATAAATCTCTAGGTTTGTATAAATTCATGGTTGGTTCGAGAAAATTTAAATTGAAAATACACTTCAATGTTTTATTTTGTAATTTCATTAGTGGACTCAAACGTGTGAAATATTGGTACTTCCCCATATAGATATTAGGTATTGAAATTTTGAGTAAATAAGTTTTTCTATAGACTTGATGTTTCTTTCTTTATCAAGGGATAAAAGAAAACAATTCCTCAAAAATATCCAATGGGAGAAGAACTCGAAAATGTTAAAATGCACTCTTTCCCGAATTTCATTTTTTCATGCACAAAATAACTTGGTGATTACAAATTTTTCAGGTTTACATTTAGATCCTAGATGGTAGGAATGATGGGTAAATGGATAATATAAATTCGATACTCTAAACTGTGCCTTTCTATTCATTTCTGAATATGAATAAATTGAACTCGAAATTCCACATAATATAGTGTGTCCCACTTTGAGCAGCACCACTTTTCTCTGAGAGCTTCTTCAGCTACCTATGAGGAATATAACGTTCCTTCTGGGGGATCGGCTTTTTGCCTTCCTCTTAAATTTCACCGACTTGAACTCCATTTCCCATTAAATAATTAATTATGTTTTGAAAATAAGTTGTTCGCCTTCACGATGTTTCAAAGAATTTTTCCACATACACTTTGTTGCTAATTTGACTGAAGATGGCCATTTGAATGGCCGAAACATGTATCAAACCTTATTGAAGCCGGATTGACAGCCTCCTTTGACATTAAAATTGTGGAGACGACTTTGAGTTTTCTTTCTTGATCATTCCACTCCACTTTGAGTATGGACTACTACAGAAGATCATATAATTCAATGTACGTTATGGGATATAGCCAGGAAAGTAGTTGGTTTTATTTGAATATACAGGGTGTTTCTTAATTATATGCTAATATTCAACCCAGTTAACACAGGATATCTTATGGATATCCATTTTGAGTCCTATTCAAGGCGGGATATCCATGGACATAAAATGTATATCCATAAGATATCCGATTGCGGATGTACTTGAGATATCCGAAACAAACGTCCTGAATACGTCCATAGGATATCCATAAAATACAGAGACAAACGATTTCAAATCAACTATATACAATGAATGAAATGATGAATAAATAAAAGGAGATCCACACAAGTAACACTTGTTCGTGGGTCTTCCAAAAGATAGCACACATTGTGATGAACTATCTGCTATATTATTATAAATTTCGTTTTTCAAAAACAGCGCGAGGTGGCGTAAAGTCTCAAATAGTCTAAGATTGGTAGAACTGATGATTATTTATAGATCATCGATTCTACCAACCTTGGAATAGTCAAATAATGTCAATATGTTCACATATTTAATAAATTTGGAAGTTATTCCTAAGAATTCGTCCAAAATGGATGATATGCATAAGAACTGACAACTACATTATTCGAACACAGTGAGACGTGAGTGCTTCCCAATTTTTGTAATTTTTTCTACTATCTCTTATATTCATATCCATAGTTGATATCTTATGATTATCCATAATGAATATCTTTAAGACATCCAAAAAGGTCACACTGTCACATCCTATGGGCGTCCATAGTATATACCAGCGCCTTTTTCGGATATCTTATGGACATCCACAATATCCATGATGGATATCCATAGTATATCCAAAAGATGTACTTGTGCTTTCTGGGAAGGGGACGATTTCTCGACCCATTTCAAGAATAAAACTTCAAAAGTTAAGACTTTTAGGACATACGTTCATATGATGTTTTCTTCTTAAAATGATCCAAATAATCACCCCCTCGAATATTAGAATGTCTTTAAGGAACACCCTGTATACCAAAGAATTCATATTTTCATCAAATAGATGATGCGAATTCTCAATGTATTTCTTTAGATATTTTATATCCATTTTTTCAAGTTCATAATATATCAGAGAATATTCCTTTTCAATATTTCCTTAGACATAATTGAACTTGAAAAATAATTATAACTTTTTTTACCATGATGATGGTATGTGGATGACTTCCACTGTATGATGAATACAGAAGACCAATAATTATTTTCTATAGTTTGCTGAAAAGGATCATCGCAATATTATGATTGGAAATACCGGTCATGAAAAAAAAAAGTACGATAACTACAATTACTGACACCATAAAATATTTCAGAAGATGATTCCGAATGTCTACTTTCAAAGTATCGATGGGAACATTTTTCAACAATGTAATGAATTCCGAAAATAACAATGGCCGGCCGCAACACAGACAGTCTCTCTGATGAGTTATTCGTTTTTGTTCCACCTGACTATTATTATACGTACCTCGGCTACACATACATAACTATATACCTTAGAAAATAACATAAAAGATGTGTTTTTTCAACCAGTTTACTGCGGAACCGGTCCCGAGACTACTTGACTTGTAAATTCCTCACCATCTCGTCGTGTTTACCAAAGAGAAAACAAAAGGATACGAGCGCAGCCTAGACGATGGAATTCTGAGGGATTTTTACTTTTTTTTTCTAAATGAAATGCAGAGGAGAGTCAAGGCCGCACACTGCCCCTAGCCAATGATGGTCACTTGAAGCAAAAAAAGTAAAAGTTCATAATATTTATACAACGTAAAAACTTAGCTTAGTAAAAACTGTCTGTGCAGGGTAATGGAGGAAGTGAAATATCCATATTTCTCTAGGTTTCTCTTTAAAATTCGAACAGTTTGCCACTAGATTTCGCACACCCTGTGATGATTCGTGTCAATCAAACTCGGTTAACGACCCTCTTAGGCCTTATTTAATATACCGAGTGTCCCAGATGTGTTCATATAGCCAATATCCCAGTTATGCTGCTTGGAAAGGAAATTTGAAAAAATTACACTTTTGTCAAACCCATACGACTCTGAAGCCCATGTGTCAAAGTCAACTCCTGTCAAACTACCCCTGGAAAACCACGCCCAACTTCAATTATTCAAGTTACACCCTATACATTTTTTGTTGATTATATATAGTGGGCTGCAATCAATTTTCACCTCAACGATGTATCACACTTGATATTTTGACAAACGTAATAGTTCCAAAATTACAAAATTTGAAAGAAACAGTATCAGGTGTAGATAATTCATTTTTTCCACCACTAACCTGTTATGCGTGAATTAGACTTAGACCAAGAAAGAATTCAAATACCCATGAGTTTCGTTAAGGACACAATTTTTGACCAATCAAAACAATTTCAGCTATGGCGCTCGATTCGATATGATGTACCACTTCAATGATAGTTCAATGGTTTCATGTGCGATATTCATAAGGTTTATATTATTATTAAATTATATCAAAACATATTCCACTACACTGTTTTACCACTAACCAAACCGATTTTTTAACGCTTCGACACGTGTTTCGCTAACTATGTTAGCATCTTCAGGAGAAGATTAAGTTTTAATCTTCTCCTGAAGATGCTAACATAGTTAGCGAAACACGTGTCGAGGCGTTAAAAAATCGGTTTGGTTAGTGGTAAAACAGTGTAGTGTAATTATCGTGCCAAAGGTTCCAGTCTTCGATATATCAAAACATATTAATTGATACTGTATTTTGAATATACATAGGTACTAACAATATTTATCAGTTTCCTTCCTAACTTCATGCATCAGGCTTCCTATCAAAATGAATGTCACTTAAATCTTAAATTCTCACTCAGTTTTGTAGTTATTCACAATTTCACCTGGAATTTTAATTCAGCGTTTATTTTCTGAATACTTGATATATCAAAATTTTAGTAAGCATTGCTCCTCCAATGGAAATGAAAATTGATAAAAGATGTTATTAGTGGAAAAATATGATATATATTCCTCGGGTGAGAATGCTATTCATATAGCTCGCTTGCGCCTCTTGATATAAAAGTAATTGCTATGCTCACTTCCCAACCTAGGTGTATAATATACTTATTTTATGTGCCGGGAACAAATTT